ATATTGGTGTGTGGTGGTGACAATACTACATTGGTACATGCTGGTACATCTTTAGATCTCTTCGTTCGTTAGGGGGGGGGGGGGGGGGGGTTGAAATTGAAGAAAACCCTAAACAACTTAAAACAATCTTTTGACTATAAAGTAGGACTGCTTGACTATAAAGTAGAAGTGCTTGACTTCTTACGTCAGCTGTAATCCCCGACCCTCATGCCCTTGCCAACTCTTTCAATGTGTCGCCGTCGTCCTAGACCACCTAATTCATGTTACATGATGTACCTAGATCCGGCAAAACTGTCGTCACTCCTACAGTCACCCAACTGTCGTCACTCCTACAGTCACCCAACTGTCTAGCCCTGCCAGTGTCTCCAGATCCTTGACTCCCCACCGTAAGAAAACCAAACACAACTCCCCCCCCCCTTCCGACCGTCGCCAGTCGCGCCGACCACGTTTTCCGTCAGCATTCACCCCCCCCCCCCCCCCCGTCCTGCTGCCTAAGTGCTCCCGGAGTTTGTTTAACGTTAATCCGGGTCCTTTTTGCTGGCCTAAGGTCCCTAATCCCGGGCCCTTTGATATGAAGAACTGTACCCCCGCTGGACACGCTGACGCCGGCGGACTGTTGGAGAAGCGCCGGAGTTTTCAGGGGGGGGGGGGGGGGGCACACCTTGCACCTGTCACCTGGGGCGGGGGGGGGGGGGGTATTTTTAAATGCTGACCAATAGTACGTTATAAATCACATGCAGTGAGTATGTTTTTAAGAGAAGGGAGTGTTAAGTGAGTATGTTTTTAAGAGCAGTGTGTAATTTTAAAAATTCATTCTATGTAGAAGAAAAGTGAAAAATTTTTATTTAGTTTTACAACGTATGAACAGAAAGTACCAAAAGTTTGCATTATTCATTGCTAATACAGTCCCCTGTAGATAGACTAGTACAGTCCCCTGTATATGACTGGTACAGTCTCCTGTCCCCTGTAGATGGACTAGTACAGTCCCCTGTAGATGGACTGGTACAGTCCCCTGTATATGTACTGGTACAGTCCTCTGTAGATAGACTGATACAGTCCCCTGTATATGAGCTGGCACAGCGATTGTAGGAAAAAAAGTCACAGGAAAAAAAAACACAGGAAAAAAAAACACAGAAAAAAAGTCACAGGAAAAAAAGTCACAGGAAAAAAAGTCACAGGAAAAAAAGTCACAAATATATATTTGCATGATACTTGTTAATACTTTTATGTATATTAAATATTTAGAGAGTGCAAATTAACTTAGGATTAATTAAATGTAATGTGTGTAGGCTGTATACGCATAGTAATTTTTATAATTCATCTAAAAATATTTAGTATGAAGTATGTAGATTGTAATTATGTTAAACCTAAGATTAGTAGCGTTTAATAGAATGCTCCAAAGTCCACGGTTTTAATCCTGTTTTTTTTTTACCAACATTAAATTACCGTGAAATGGTAAGTTCATCTGACTTGCTGCCCTCAACTCATGGCAACAATAGTTATGTTTAGATGTTTAGTTCAACCACCTTTACTGCCCACATTTTTCAGAGTCATTACATAACAAAACTTAGGATCAAAACAGAAAGCCGGCAAGGTTGAAAGGCTGTCATTGACGCATGACGACAACAACACAAAATATGTTCGGACAATGCCTACTGAGGAGAGGCCGACCAGAGAATAGCCTACGGCAAAATTTGCCTAAATTTCTTTTATAATTAAATTTTCTACCGCGTTTTTAACTAAATACGTAACAAATGTTGAGATTGTTGTGTAAATTATATTAGAATATTTTTACTTACAATTGTTATAAACCATAATGCTTTTAACGTCTATAAATAATTTATGCTATAAAAAATACAACCCACAACAATAAACATACACAATTTTACAATTCTAAACAAATAAATAAAAATATTTTAAAAATATTTTTGTGACTTTTTTTCTGTGACTTTATTTCTGTGGCTTTTTTTCCGATAAAATTTTTCCACTGTGACTTTTTTTCTGTGACTTTTTTTCCTAGCAAAAACTGTGACTTTTTTTCTGTGTTTTTTTTTCCTGTGACTTTTTTTCCGTTTACCGGCACAGCAGAGGTTTTGTACAAAAAGCTTACCGCCTGCGGTATGTAGAGCGCTTTTCTCTAATGGTCAAAAGACTGATGCTAAATAAAGACAAAGCAAGATGGCTAATAAAATTTAAAAAAAAAATAATAAAAACACTACTTTTTACCACACATCTTTCAGGGAAGTAAAAAAAATATTACTACAAAAATTAACGCAGAAAAAAAAATTATCTTTCGTTCCGGTTGACTGACGCCAGTAACAGTGAGACAAGCATTGCATTCTTCTCGACATGCGCACACCTAGCCAATAGAAATCTATCAATTAGCCTCGCTCGTGCTTTCTTTCAATCCCCCAATTTCACACAATTAGTGTGGTAATAGTTATGATTATATATTTTCACATGTTTCAATCTCCAACATTTTTTATCAACATAAAAAAACTGATTACAAGGTTAATGCGCTTGGCAAGGGAAGATAACTATTAATAAACATGGATAGAGAACTCTTGCGTTAAAAAGTAATCATTGTGCTTCACCCAAATGTTGCACCTGTTTCCGTACTTAGTATGTATTTGAAGTCATGAATGCTTTTTTCTTCATGGCGCGCGTTCTTTATGTTCCCCCACTGCGTGCATGTCGCCATCTTTTTATCCCCACCGACAATTAGCGAAATTACATTTGTGTAAGTTTTAGATTGAGAAAAATATTCAATATTCTTCGGAACAAAAGATTATTTTTTTTTGTTACATGTCGACTTAGCTTGGCGCTGTCTTGTCTTTTGTCTAGTGTGTGAATTCGCGATTGGACAAAAAAGGTGAAAATTGCACCGTATGCAGCCGAGGATGACAAAAACTTGGGCTAGCAGCGACTCAAAAACGCGACGCTGCGCACCTCTTGAGGCACCGATGGTGCGCATTACATTTGTCTAGCTGGCGCGTAACAAAACAACTATTAATAGCATGTTGTGATTGTTACATGCAATGTGAGGTACGCTGGGATAGAAAGCATGGGGATAGCTGTTGGTTGATTCATAATGTTTTAAGTAGCAATTGAGGTTCAAAAGGATGAAAACCGACAAAGAAAAGGAACTATCTACTCATTTTATCCTACATATATATATATATATATATATATATATATATATATATATATATATATATATATATATATATATATATATATATATATAATTTTATTTAATTTGCATTTTAAATTGGAAAAGTACATTCCAGTTCAATAATTGATGAAATCTGTTATTATTTTTCTTTATTGTTGTTTGTCAAAGGTTTTATTTAAAAATTTGATAACGATAATTGTCTTGATAATTGATTGCTTACTAATGTTTGTGTGCTACTGTTTTTTTTTGTGATCCACCCTTCGTACAAGTGGTGACACATCTAGGTGACGCGTGGTGACATGTTTAGGTATATATTGGAGTGGTGACACATCTATGTGGCGGTAGTACGTGGTTGTGACATGTTTATGTATATAGGGGATGTGGTGACACATCTAGAAGCTGTCAGTTTGAGATGACACACCTTGTCAAAGTTTTGACTTGACACCGACAACTGCCTGTCAATTAGAGATCAACTTAACCCAAGGTTCAAACATTTACTGACACATCCGTATCTTAGGACCGCTGTATCTTTTGAGTGACGAACCATTGTATAGTTTATTTCACGTGTAATGAGCAGCATTGAAAGCTATAGTCTACACAAATGTAATACTACACAATTTTAATTACATTTTAATCATTCTTGCTGCCCCCAGGAGCTAAACGGATTCTTGACAATAATTACTTGTAAAGTAATTCGATTGCGAAATTCTTCAAATCATATCATTTTTCAAAACTGGTTAATAAACAATTAGAGATTAACACAGAAAAAAAAAGGTTCTGATTCAAGTATTTAGTGAGTGTTATTATAAAAAGCCTGAGAGTGGAGTAGACGGAATATTTTATTTGTGCATCGTCGCAACCTATGTTTTAGGCGAAATTCTGGGTATTCCCAGTACAGTTTTTAGCGCCACTACGCCCCTTTTTAGCACAACTCATGAGTACCACACCTCTGTTGGCACCCGCACACCACTGACATCACACCCCTATAGTACCATAACACCTCTGTAGTACCATCACACCCCTGTAGTACTCACACACCTCTGTAGTACCATCACATCTCTGTAGTACCATCACACCTCTATAGTACCCGCACACCCCTGTAGTACTCGCACACCTCTGCTAGCACTTCCCTGCAGTACACCTCATCAGTACCAGCACCCCTACATTGCAGCACAACCTTACATAAATGTACAGCACCATCATAAAAAAAACCAGACCCGCCTTTTTTGCCGTGTCAGGAAATGTAGCGGCAATGACGTCACTCGCTACACGGGGAACCCCCCCCCCCCCCCCACTCTCTTTCCTCCCCATCACTGTCATCACTTCCCGTGGGCGCTGAAAGTTCAAAATATCATCAGCAAGGGACGCTACCCCTTTCATGTCTGGAGCCGCGCTGGAAAGTTTGTAAACACGGCACGACACAAGGGCAGATAACTGCTTCACAGCTCCTTGCCCGCGCTCTCTCGCTAATGGCCGCTCACGGATGTCGTCTCAGAGCCGTCGGCCCTGGCTCCTTGACCTTCTGATCTGTGATACTCGCCCAGGATAGGTGATACCAAAAACATGATAAAACACAACCCCGTCAAAATCTGGCTGATTACGTTACAGGTATGTCCGTACAGTAGGAATAATTAACATACACCTCATAAGACTTGTTGAAGAGGTAGGGTATATTATACACGGCTCAGGAGCCACATTCAGGCCACTTGATAAAGCAACTGCTATACAAAGAGAAAATCACAAATACAATCAACGAAGCAAATTTTGACGGAAATATAATATGAATTTATTTTAATTTAATTTAAATTTTGATTTTATTAATAAAAACCAGAAAATTAAATTGTGTAAATTTTAACCAACGGAGTCGTAATTTTAACAATCATACAAAAAATGCCAATTTCAATTTACCAATAGAACTAAATACATTAAAACGTCTAATCTATAATTATAATTAGTCAGTAGAAATAACGGTCAATGTATATCTTATAAGTGGCCCTATATGTCTTGACATCTAATGTCAGTCTCATGACAATGTCATCTGAACTTCAGCCGATGTCAGTTTTAGACAGTCCGGTGTGAAATGTGGTGGTGTCACCATTTTTCTAAGTGGTCGGTGGTTTTTGTATGCCTTATTGTCTGACCCTTGGGTGATTTTCTCTAATGAGTGGTCAGTGGTGGTTTAATTCTCTATGTAATCAATTGTAGGGATTTACCAACCAGTGGAGAGTGATCTAGGATTAGTATCAGCTATTAGGAGGATTTAACACCGGATACAAAATGATAAAAGTGGATTGTGGATTGTGGATTTACCCCCAGCTAAAAGTGGATTGTGGATTTACCCCCAGCTAAAAGTGGATTGTGGATTTACCCCAGCTAAAAGTGGATTGTGGATTTACCCCCAGCTAAAAGTGGATTTTGGATTTACCCCCAGCTAAAAGTGGATTTTGGATTTACCCCCAGCTAAAAGTGGATTGTGGATTTACCCCCAGCTAAAAGTGGATTGTGGATTTACCCCCAGCTAAAAGTGGAATGTGGTGGCCTGCTTGACCTTCTCCGACTTGACGGAGCTGTGACGGCTCCTCTCTGATGGCCCACTGTGGCTCTTGTCCCTATTGGCGCCCAGACTGTGCACGTCCCAGTTAGCTGCCCTTTCCTGACAGAAAAATTAATTAATTAATTAATTAAATAGAATTAAAGATATAAAAAATATATTCAGTACATGTTTCAAAGTCTAAAAACACACATAGTTGATTAATAATACAACTTAATTGAACCATTAGGGACGGCATGGTCTAGCGGTAGAGAGCTAAACTGCTAACCCGAGAGTCGCGAGATCGAATCCGGGTTCAAATCAGTGGAACGTTCCACACTATCACACTATTTCTTAATAATTACTCATTAGCATAAGTTTTGCCTACAGGCATTATATTTGATAATTATACTTCATAACCATACTTCATAACCATTCTTCATAACTATACTTCATAACCTAATTCTACACCAATATAGAATAACCTTGAGATATTCAGCATCTCATTTGGCAAGTTATAGTTTAGGTATGGTTTATCAACATGTACTTTAATATTTTTACACACAATCCCAATCTTCAAATATGATTTTAATTGACGTCTGTCATCTTTGCTAAGCGGCGATGCGTGTTTTGATAGCATCTCTTTAGCAAAAAACGCCGCAAGGCACATTTTAGATACATGAAAAGTACACACAAATAAATGACGTCATAAAAAGTTGATAAAATGTTGGCTCTTACATCATACTCCCCCTGCAGTTCTGTGTATGACATCATGCTGATCCTCCTAATCCTCTCCTTCTCTATCTCCACCAGCTTCTTCCGCTTCTCCCGGATGCAGTGACGTATGATCATGACGTAGATGCTGCACGCGAAGAGAAAGGCGACGACCACAACAACGACTGCCACGATGAACATGTAGTTGGTGGTGCCGTGGCGCTGGTTGTCGTTCCCGTCCGGCAGCTTGGCGTCTCGCGCCGTCCGCCTGTCATGTCGTCTGTTACTGACACGTACCTGGCCAAAACCGCCTGTAAAATCCTCACACGCCGTGGACCGGAGTTCGAGTTCCACTGGCGACAACTCCGTTTCACAGTTCACGCCGGTGTGGTTCAGGTCCGGGCATTGTTTACAAACAGCGGAAATGACGTGGCAGTCACGTGGGTCTCCGGAACAAGACTGCGAGCAGTTTTTCTGGCAAGACGGGCCGTGTTTCCCAGAAGGGCAGCTAAAACCTGGCATGTCGCATTCACCGGAAATGGGGTGGCACTCTTTGACCTCGCACGGACAGGCGCAAACTTTGTTACAGTTACTGCCCCACTTGCGGTACTCACAGACGGGGACCCCGTGGATGAAAACAGCGCTGATGTTGACGTCAGAGCAGTTCTGAGTTTCCGTTTCTAAGGTAACCGAATCATAAACAGTCGACTGGCCCGCGGGTAGAGAAAATAATTTACTTTTTAACACATCGACAAATGTCGCTTTTCTTAATGTTTTTTCTTCATGTTTATCTCCACCTTGAAAAGTGACATAGAAATGAATTATCGAACCATTTCCACTGACTAAATGAATATAAATTCTGTGAATTAACACGTGAATTTTCGACTGGATTGACCACTTTATGAAGGTGGTGTTTCTCGCTGTGTGAATGCATTGCCCTGTCGGAAAAAACACATACTTATGTGAATTTGAAAGTGTGTTTTCGTCATCGGTACCAGACTCATGGGTCGCGGTTCTAAGCTGAATCGACTGCTCGTCCTCGCTGGGATTCGAACACGGACCTCCCGGGGTACGGGGAGTGTACCCTGGCTCACAGCCTGCAGGACAGTGACCGTCGTAGTAACACCCCGTGCTGTTGAGGCACCGGCACAAGTTCGTACATCCCCACCCCCAGGTCTTGACCCCTGCCCTGTCGCTGCAGGGGTTGGGTTCGGGGGTCGACCCGACAACCAATAGTAGCGTGGCTTGCGCTATGATACGCAAGAAGACTGACCAGTCTCTAGACATCGAAATGAGAAGACGTTCATTTGATCCGTGTACTTTTGGTGAAGATTTCTGGTTATAATCTGATCGTGTTATATACTGAGCTGAAAATATAAAACGTTTGGTTGAGATGAGTTAAGGTGAGGTATATCAAAACGTTAGGTAAACATCACAGCCATGGACCAGATAAATTGGAAGAGAATGTTTGAGGTTTTCTGCTCCGCAAGCAGAGTGAAGAAAATGAAGTTAAGTTATCAATGCTAAATTTTTGTGCTTTATTGCTATCCTAATCATCGTCTAAAACTTAGAAGTCTAAAATTAATCCCAGCCCTTATATATGACCACTAGTTAAGTTTATTCCGATCTCTAGCGACATGCTCAATACGGTCTGTAGATAAAAACCTAATTAAAAATCGGATTAAATTTTGGTTAAGTAGTTATTAGCTTATTTTTGTTTCCTATTGTGAAGAATAAAGGACTTGATAACTGCACAAGAAAGTTGAAGTTCCAGTGTGAACTCAGCAATAATGCGTACCTGGCTAAAAATAGCTCTGGCCGCATATTGTACACTACGCAAAGATAAAAAGAGTGAGCTCAAATCTACTTTTACTACACTACAGACCACCAAACGTACCTGGTTTTACTTACACCTACCCCTTACGAATTACCTAACTGAACCTATGCTTTACTTACACATTACCCCTAACTTACATCTAAGCCTTGCTCTACTTCCACCTCACTAATCCCTACTGGATTCTAAAGTCTATTTGAGTGAGTAGATTATAATCAAATAGAACTGAGAATCTATATAGGTGCATAAGCAGATTCTACACTTAACTAATTCCTACTAGTTTCTAAAGTCTACTCGAGTAAGTAAATAGAACAAAACAGAACAGATACTACTATGGCAGTGAGAATCTACCGAGGTGTGTAACTAGATTCTACAGTGTGTAGAATACTTCCTACACAGTTCCGCCAAGATACATAAAAAACTTTCTTAGTTTTTAAAATATAGACTCTAATTATTAACACTATAATTAAAGATTTCCAATTTTTAGATGTAATTATTAACTCTATAATTAAATATTTCCAGTTTTTAGATGTAATTATTAGCTCTATGCAGAATAAAATCTAGATCTCACACTGGTGATTTCTATATCCGAAGATTCTGTCAACATTAACTAAAGAAAGAAAGAACACAGACCTAATCCGTTCAATTTGAAGCATGTTTAGTGCAGTGGTTTTATTTGCGTTCAAGTAATACGGAAATGTATAGTGCGTAAAAAATACCTTGTCACATTGGGAAGTATATAAATAAATAAATGTAATTACTCCGGGGGGTAATATGTCAGGGGGGACGGGGGGGGGTAATGCCCTGTACATATATATACATATATATATATATATATATATATATATATATATATATATATATATATATATATATATATATATATATATATATATATATATATATATATATATATATATATATATATATATATATATATATATATATATATATATATATACACATGGGTGTAAACCATCTCTTAACAGAAAACTGCACCACAGAGTTAACTGCTAGGACTAGCAGATCTGTGATGCCGTGACCCAACCATCCATGACGTATCACGTGACGTGTAACACGACCCCCCTGCCACCCCCATCCCCTACCGTGCATGCCACCGACCTACAATACCTGACGTCTGCTTACACCACGGACCATAAAATTGGAACCGCTAAAAGCGGGCTCAACCGTTGCCAGGCTACCAATCCTCTGGTATAAATAGGTTAATTACTGGCTGAATTAGCGAGACCTAATTAATTGAGGACATAAGCGTGCATCCTTTTATCCAGAACATTTTTTTTTTACAAATCAACTTTTTGTTGGTGAATTGTGGATGCATGTAAACGATATCCACCTAGTATCCACTCACTGTCTACTCCATATCCACTTTTTATTACGTAATCATGTCAATGTAAGGGGATGTAATCATGACCATAGTCACTGTAAGTGGGTGTAATCATGACCCTAGCTAATGTAAGGGGGTGTAATCATGACCCTAGCTAATGTAAGGGGGTGTAATCATGACCCTAGCCAATGTAAGGGGGTGTAATCATGACCCTAGTCACTGTAAGGGGATGTTATCATGACCCTAGCCAATGTAAGGGGGTGTAATCATGACCCAAGTGTCCTAAACCCTAACAGTGTAAGCTTAGTGGCGCCGCTATGCTCCATGGCAGCCTTTCAACAACGGGGGGGGGGGATATCGATAATAGGTAATTAAGTGAACAACATGGAAAAGTGAATGGCCATTCTTAGGCACACAGCATGACGGGATGGTCATGAAGGTGACAGGTCAAGGTTGGTTCGCTGATTACAATCAAAGGTCAAGGTTGGTTTGCTGATTACAATCAATGGTTAACGAGGAGCCGTTAAGGTAGTTATAACATGTAAAACCTGCACTGTTGAAACGAATCATGTCTGGTTGTTAGCATTGTGTCTGTGACTTAAAGATATGTACAATGGTTTGATCTGCCATACAATGGATAGCGCTGGTCTGTTGTGGAGAAACAAAATTGTCTAGACAGTCATCGTCTTTATTCTATTCTACCTGAACAATACTACATCTTACAGGTGTATCACGGCAAAACAAAGGTTTTATCCTTCATCTTAATAGGTCGGAGGTCAATTAAATCCTTATTTTTGAACACTATCGGTTCGGTTAAGTAAAGCCATTATTGGTTAACTTGATAGCATTTTACCATCTATGCTTAAACTATCGTTCCACGTGTATTAAACTTGGCTTAGACTAGATCCTTGATACAGATTTCGTGCATTGTTTTAGCAGACAGCCGATGACTCAAGGTTAGACAGACCTGGGTTTTTCCCCAACTGACGATTGTATTGTCAGCTGTCTTCATACTTAAACTACCTCTTGATAACAAGAGAAGACTCAAGTGCTATTCAATGTCAAGCCCCCCCCCCCCCCTCCCTTATACTTGGCAGTCTAATTTTCCGTTGGATCAAGTAGAAAGGGAGGCGACTGGGTTGTTTGTTTTTGCTTCTCTCCAACTTGGAATCATGTCTTGTTTTAAATTACGTTTAATATAGTCCAGAAAAGGGTTATACTCAATGAACGGAGTTAAAATTAAACAATCTTATGCTTCTTCCATCTACTGTATTGATATCTAATGTTTTTTTTTTTTTTCCAAACTAAGACATAGGCTACTTCTTAAGAAATAACCATTTTTTTTTTTAAATTCTCCAAATGTAAAAACTAAAAAAAAAATGGCTCAAGTTATGGTTTATTTGATTTCATGTTACCATTTAAAAAATTACGCATGACTCTTAGAATTGTATCGGTCGTATCAGATAATTCAAGACTTTTGTTTAATTTGACCAATGTACATCCACGTCCACATTTCGGAGTTGCATGTCTATCCATTCCAGTAGACCTCAGACCCCTGTCCTCGTGATTACCTATACCGGTAGACCCCACGAACCCCCCCCCCCCCCCCCTCCGTGCGACCACTGCCTCATCACGTGACAATCTGGGCAGGTTACCTGTAATTCCACGGTTGTAATTTACCTCTCAGCAGGTCCGTTAGGCGAATCTAAAAACTACAGAACTGGCCGTAAACCCCCGGCTCACATCATTGAGTCTTGTTGACAAACATTTTATTCCGCTACCCTCAGGGGGGGGGGGTCTACATCTATAAATCTAATTCACATCCCTCCCCCATACCCATCAAAAACCAACATCACGAAGGCGGGGCTTCCTTGCCTTAAATCATTACTCGAACAGCGTCGTTAAATCATTACTCTAACAACGTCGTTAAATCATTACACGACTCGAATACCGTCGTTATATCAATGAATTAATGAAACCATACTATCAGAGTTATAACACAAGCACACATAGAAACCACTGCAAACACATTCTCTTCATCTACCAACCACTGCACACACATTCTCTTCATCTAGCAACCACTGCAACCACCATTCTCTTCATCTACTAAACACTGCAACCAACATTTTGTTCATCCAGCAACCACTGCAACCACCATTCTCTTTATCTAGCAACCACCGATGCACCACTCTCTTTGTCTAATCTCATTTTTCTTGTTGCCTCGGAGTCCATGTTTGCCAACTGGAAAGTTCCGAGTTCCAACCTCGGGCAGATGAGGCTTGCGAGCTGGGAACAGCAACTCATCTATTAAATAAAATTCCAACATAAACATTACTTCTGCCTTGTAGACTTTTCTTGGGCGGACATACGTCATCGAATTAAATGAAGAAAGAAAATCATGCTAATGACGAAGTCAATGGAAGAGATCCCTTCAAATGTTACAATTAAAAAAAGATGAAGAAAAGAAGTTTAAGTTATGATATTAATGAAATAATCAA